TTGCTTCTCAAACTTCCAGATGTGCTGGCTCCTTTGTGATTCGAACGCATGCGAGCCAGGGCCCTGGCTGCCGTTTCAAAGGCGGAGCGAGAGGTAGACGGCGGACCACATGTTTCTTCTATGGGAAAGGCTTTCTATTAGAACTAGAGGCCTGATGCACAAAATCCGTGCAAGGGGCTCGGCCCTCGCAGCCCCGGCTTCGTCCGGAAGGTCTTCCGGAAGGTCGTTCTGCTGTTCGGTCTAATTAGCATATTAGCTCTTTATTATATAGATCTTAGTATCGTCTTTAAAAAAATATATGTATATATATATATTTTTTTATTGATTTCAGAGAGGGAGAGGGAGAATCATCAATAGGCTGCCTCCTGCACGCCCCCCACTGGGGATCGAGCCCGCAACCCGGGCAGGTGCCCCTGACCAAGAATCGAACCCTGACCTCCTGGTTCGCAGGTCGAGGTTCAACTGCTGAGCCCGCCGGGCCGGGCTCATTACTGTGTGTTACATTAGCTACTGTTTGAGTGGCTTCTGGAAACATTCCTGTGGGGTATTCCAGAGTCCAACCTTTATACGGGGATCTGTCCGTTCATTGTTGTGGCCGATGGAAAAAAAATCCCCAGTTCTGCTCTGTCCGAGCTCAGGAATTCGAGCAGGAGCTGCTGGATTTTTATTTTTTTTATTTCATTTCTGTCTTTTCTTCCTTTTCTTGTTCTGGGAGAGATCAGAAGCTGGCGGCGGGGTGAGGCAGCACCGCATTTTCCCCGGTTGCCGCCTCTGCGCCCAGGAAGGACGCACACCGGGCCCCGGCCTCTGAGGGTCCGCACGAGAGCGTTGAAAGAGTCTCCGATTTATTTCAAGAAAAACCTGTTTCCCATCATTCATAACAGGAAGCGGGGCCAACAGACGGCGGCCGCTGACAAATGAAAGCGAAAGGGTCACGTCCCCTCGGCGGCGAGCAGGGAACAAAGGCGCCTTGTGTGGGGGTCCCAGGCCCGGCGCCGCCCAGGCCTCCCTGCAAGGTCCCCGCAAACCTCGGGGAACCTCGGGGAACGGGAGCCTCCAGGCCCCGGGTCTGGGCGGCTTCCGACCAGCGGAGCCTCCACAGGCCTGCGGGATTCGACCCTCCTTCCTACGGCCACCCCTCCCCCCGCCCCCCATGAACGTGACCTGGGGCTGTGCATTGGCAGACAGTCCTTACCTCCTGGAATATCGATTTCCCCGACAAACCAGGAAACATGGGAAAAAGGACAATCTTTTCTTTATTAAAAAATGAGGGTGAGATCTTTGTCGAAGGCCATCCTTGCTGCACACACACTTCCGGAAGTGAGAATAGCAGAGAGGGTGAGTGTGCGTGCGTGCGTCCGTGCATGTGTGTGTGTGTGTGTGTGTGTGTGTGTGTTGTGTTTTTTGGGGGTGGGGGTGGGGGAAAATATATTTATGAGATCGTAGGCAAATGGTGCGAATCATTAATGAGACGGATGCAGAGGGCCCCTGGGCCACCGGACCCACTTGTGTGCAACGCCCCAGACAGAGCGGGAAGGAACGCGTCTGTAGCCTCCCGTTGCATCACGGACCGGGGACCCTCTGACCTTGGGTCTGACCTTGAGAGCAACCAGCTGATGGGATCCGGGGTCCCTCTGCTTCGAGCTCGGTCGAGCTCCCTCTGAATCGGGAGGCCTTTGCGTGTGTTTCTCTTTCCACAGAGCGAGCTGCTTAACTTGCAGTTCCTCTTTGGGGATGAATGGCTTGATCCTCCGAGCGAAAAGAAGTTTTTTACGTCTATTTTAAAGGTGACTCGCCAAGAACTGGGGAACGTACAACTACGAGGAGTCGAGCGTTTATTTCTGGGTTTTGTAGTATGAATGGGCGCGTACGGAAGGAGGGCAGAAGTAAGGAGAGGTGTTGGTTTCATGATGCACTAAATTCAAGGATGAGATCGGAGGAGTTCGGTGTGATAA